GGCAGCTATGATAATGATAATGATGAGCCACTCACAGAGCCTCTGGGAATACAGGATCACTTGCTGCACCAGGACAAGCTTTGGATTGTGCTATCAATCCACTCTAAATAAATCAAGACTTTCCTGAAGAACGGCAAGAAGTCTTTAAAACCTAGAGGCTTCTTTAATTCAATTCAGAACATAAATACTCAAGGGAACCTGTGATCTTATTGATTGGGGGTTTCTCTCCAATGATGCAGAGGGCAACCTGTCCATGCCTATGTTTCCTGGGGCACTCTGATCTGTGTTATCTCAAAACTTTGCCACAAGAGGGCCCACCCAATACGCCACAAGGCCTGCCTGGCTTCGTCTGAACATTTCCAGAGTCCTTAACGGGGCACCTGTCATCCCTCACTCTTGCTAGGTGATCAGTTCATCGCTTCTTATTGGCATACAATCTCTCGATGATGTCCTTTACTCTTGCTCTTCTGATTGCTTGTGTGCTACAGCCCTCTCACACCCACCACCTGATTCTCTCATCTTTAAGCCTTTGAAAACAGTGGTGTTCTATGTCTTAGTATCAACATTAGTAAAATCTTAGTTTGAAAACATGGCCTTTTGCTTTAGGGGGAAGCTTAAATCTGTAAAAAAGAGCCTCACAATATCCCAAAAGCAGTTCAGCTTGCTTTCTTCCTCCCATTCAACTCTATGCCCAGCTCACTATCCATCTACACTAGTTGTCCCAGATATACATACAGGTGGACAACTCTATTGGGTAGCAATCCAAATGCAAGTTGAAAGGTAGGCAACAGACATTTTTCATCTACTTGGTCTTTCCTGTGTGGACAGAATAATTAAGTACTTTGAATGATTCCAGGTATCTTCTAGGAGGCTTTGCAACATCCTGGGGCTTGATGTAATTGTAACAATGTCACTCCCAAAAAGGAGCATTGGCAGACCTCATCATACACAAAGAATACTCTGTGCTGTATAACCTTCCTCACAAGCCGACTACCCTTTAGGGTTAGGTTATCATTATACTGTGAAATGATTAAGAAGTGTTTGATTACTGAATATTGCTTGCAAAAGTCTATTTGTTCCTTGCCCTTCTGGAAGATGCCTTCAAATTATACAGATGATGACTTTCGTAAAGATTTTGTACACATGGACGAGTAGGCACGTAGGCCAGTTGATAATGAGTTCTTAGTCACATTTTGAGGGTATTAATAATAAGGTATAAGACTTTTTTTCCATATCTTTGGTATCCTCTTCTCTTTCACATACCTTCTACATTAGTTCCCCAACCATACAGCAACTATTTATTCAAATCTCCTATGTGCCTAGCAGTTTAAGGCTGTCTTTCATAGTATAAAACCAATGTTTCCCAAGATTGTGACATTTATGTTATGAGGATGATTTTTATAAAGCCACATGGTAAGTAGGGTGTGCTCTTGAAGTTAGGAGACTGGTTCTAAACCCAGCTGTCAGTGATATCATCTCAATGTGTGGCCTTAGGCAAATAATTTCATTTATCTCCACTGGTATGCCATTGGTCAGTCAGTCAATTAGCACTTATGAAGCACATTTATCTCCACTGGTATGCCATTGGTCAGTCAGTCAATTAGCACTTATGAAGCACATTCTATGTCCCAAACACTGCCCCAAGCACTTGGAATGCAAAAAGAGGCAAAAGACGGTCCCTGTCTTCAAGGAGTTCACAATCTAACACACGTGACAATAAGCAAATATATACAGACTAGCTATATACTAGCTATATACAGCATAAATTGGAAATAATGACAGAGGGAAGGCCCTAGAGTTAAAAGGGGTTTGGAAGAGGTTCATGTAGAAGGTTTTAGTTAGAATTTGAAGGAAGTCAGGGAAGCCTGGAGGCAGAGATGAGGAGGGAGAATATTCCAGGAACTGGGGAGAGCCAGAGAAAATGCCCAGAGCTGAGAGATGGAACAGCAAGGTGGCCATGGTCACCGTATAGAAGAGTATTAGTGGAGGATGGGTAGGGAGAGAAGAGAGGAATTGGTGTAAGAAGAATGGAAAGATCTCTCTGTGGGGTCTGTGTGGTAGGCTAGGAAGGGTTTTGAATGTCAAAGAGAAGATTTTGGGGCCGAATTGGAGTCTGTAGAGACTTGCGGCAGGCCAAACCACTTGCAGGCATGAGGTAATGAGGACCTTCATCAGGGTGGTGGCAGTATTAGAACAGGGGATGTGTTTGAGAAATGTTGCAAAGATGAAATTGACAAGCCTTTGGCAAACAGATTGTATGGGGGAGGGAGGAGAGGATGACACCTAGGTTGGGAGCCTGGGGAACTGGTAGATGATAATGTCCTCAATAGTTATTGGAAACTTTGGAAGGGGAAAGAGTTTATAAATAAAGGTAATGAGTTCAGTTTAAGACATGTTGAGTTTAAGATGTCTAATGGATATTAAGTTCAAAATGTTTGAAAGGTAGTTGGAGATGTAAGACTGGAGTTTAGCAGAAAGGTTAGGGATTGATAAGGAGATTTGAGAATTGTCAGCATAGAGAGGATAATTAAATCCATGGAAGATGATCAAGTTAAGTAGTAGAGAAGTGGAGGGACCAGAGCCCTTTAGGATACCTATGGTTAGTAAGTAGTTAATGGTGTAAGATACCAGTAGTAATTAGGGGACGGGGAAAGAGAATGGCTGGATACCACCATCTTTCCAGTTCATTCTCAACTTCTCCTTCTCTCCACTCTCCCCTATCCAAACTGTTGCTAAGCATTGTCAATTTCATTTTTACAATATTCCTTCTAAGATTCCTTCCAGTTTTGATCGTATATGATTTTAAGTACCTTTGCAGTGAAATCTTTTGTTACTTAGTACTTATAGGAAGAATATACTACATTTACTTATCCTTTCAATGACAAAAATATGTCCAAGGAAACTGAGTCCTAGTGTAATATCTGAGGACCTAAACCAATGTTTTTTCCCTACTCAGTATGGGTATCACCATTCCAGCATAAAGTTAAACTGTCCTGAGATGAAAAAATTATTAATCTGCTTGGAAAAGTGTGGTTCAGAATGGAATGGAAAAATATGTATTAAGAACCTATTCCACACCAAGCACTAGGATACAGATAGAAAATTTACTAAATACTGCTACATCACTGCTAAACTTATATTCAAAAGATAACAAAGAATAAAAGGTCCTTTATGTACAAAAATATTTATAGCAGCTTTTTTTGTGGTGGCAAAAAACTGGATTCTAAGAGGATGGCCAACAACTGGGGAAAGGCTGAATAAGTTGTGTTATATGAATATGCAGTACTATTGTGCAGAAGAAATGAGGAAGCAGATGATTTTAAAAAAACATAGAAAGCCTTTTTGAATTGATGCACAGTAAAATAAGCAGGACTAGAAAAACAATTTAAACTATAACAATCAATACTATAAAAATGGATAATTTGGAGGACTTTTATAAATGAAGAATGAAATTAGTAGAACCAAGAGAACAATTTACACAATTTTACAACACTGTAAAAACAGCTTTGAAAACTTTAAGAGCTATGATCAATACATTGACCAGTTATGATCCCAGAGGTCTAAAGATGAAACATGCTATTCATTACAGAGAGGTGATGGTTTTGGGCTGTCGAATGAGACATATTTTTGTATACAGCCATTGTGGAAATGTTCTTTGCTTAAGTATATATATTAAAATAAATTTTCTTTTATTTTCTTTTTCAATGGGAGAGAAAATAGACTGGTTAATTCTTTTTAAAGTAGAGAAGTAGTGAGTGCTACAGATAGTGAAATGTGTGCACTTTCAGATAAGGTCACTGTATTATTAGTTTTATTTAACTTTTACTTTGTTACAAGAGACCTCTCACAGAGTGACAGTAATCTGTAAATGTATATAATATAAAAGCAAAATACATCAATAAAACTGAAAGTGACGGGAAAAAGTTAGATAGATAGTACCCGCTCTCAAGGAGCTTACATTATAATTTAAGACAGTATACATAGGAAGGTTCAATTGTAGGATAGATGGAAAGGCCCAGGAGTCAGGAGGGCAAAGTTGTAGAGTAGACCTTTGGGAGTAATGGTCCAGGTCCCTGGCCAATGACAGATGGGAAATGAGCAGTGTTTTTGAGGGTTGGAGGAAGGTAGGCACCTCAGGGAGGGGTAGGGTTAAGGTTTAGCGTCCAGGGCTTAGTGCCAATTGGGGTCATGTCCTCTGATGCCTCTTGGCATCTAGGGAGCAGAAAGACTAGGACAGTAGCGGGGAAGAGTCCTGGTATGGAAAAACACGTAACTCCAATAGTAATGGAATCCTACAGTTAGAAACAAGGGGCGGCCATCTAGTTTAAACCCCACCCCCCAAGATAAGGAAATTGAGGATCTGGGTATTTAAGTGATTTCTCAAGGTCATACAAATCAGTGGGCATCAGACCCAGGATTTGAACCTAGATCATCTGACTGCCAGAGCCAATGTTCCTTCCATTATACCATCTGCCTCCAGAACAATTTAACAAAAATAAGCTCCTACTGCGAGCAGGAACTGTGCTAAGTGCTGAGTGGTCCTCTTAGATGACTCTATTGAGTAATTATTACCAGATGAATCCCAGGGGAGAAAAAGGGACTGTTGTTAAAATGTTAAATTCAGTATCTTCATAATAATCTTCCTGATTTTCTATTCCTTTATCATGATTCAACTGACAAGTTCACTGTGGCTGTGTGTTCGTGTATATAAGGGGATAATGTATCTAGGCCTCTTTGAGATTTTGATTGAAAGGGACTTAAACTATTGGCCAATTAGAATCAGGATTTTAATGAGGTCATCAATACAGGAACTTTTTAAAAAATCGCTATCTCTCCTTTATTTTTTACTTTTAAATTTTGAGACATTTGTATTATAAGTAATGTTTGCTTGCACCAGATTCTATAACCATCAAATTAAATCAAATCAGGAAGGAGAAATGATCCATGCAAACATTAAAAAGATATGTGAACACAAACTATTAACAGGTATTTTTACTTACAATAGAAATAAATGTTCCTGATTGAGATCACAGACCATTAGTAACATTAATAAATATCTCCATCAAAATCAGATCCTGCCTTCATGTAAATACCTATAAAAATCAGAGGAAAAGGAACTATCAACAGAGAGACATAAAATGGACAATGCTTACACTCAATTGTATATTTGTAGATTTTTTTAGTCCATGAGATTATATAGTTCAAGTTTATTTCCTGTTTCATTGCTCCATCTGTTGGCAATACTCCAGAACATCTTTTCCATATCAAAGAATACTCTCTAAAAGGGGATGGGGGAGCTTACAAACAAAAAGACGTACTTTTTCTTGCTAAGAAACAAAACCATTCCTCTCTGAAAAATCCAATTATCTGGACAAGTATTACATGTTGTACTTTTCTTTTTTCTTTCTTTTTTTTTTTGCAGGGCAATGGGGTTAAGTGACTTGCCCAGGGTCACACAGCTAGTGTTATGTGTCTGAGGCTGGATTTGAACTCAGGTCCTCCTGAATCCAGGGCTGATGCTCTATCCACTACACCACCTAGCGGACCCCACATTGTACTTTCCTTTGCCTTTGCTAATGTACAGAACTTGGTTAAACCTTAATCTGAATTCCCATAGCAGTAAGGTAGTCAGTGCTAAAGAACTGTGTAACGCCTAGGGTCTAGAGCTCAAACAAACCTTAGAGATAACCCAGTCCATCTCTTCATTTTGCTTTTAATTATAGTGTATAACAGGATATAGTTTTATCTCTATTCTGCCAATGTGTTTGTTCTGCCTCTATTATCCAGAACTTTGAAATTCTTCTCTCAAGGACAATCTCCTATCCTCTCATCTTTCCTTCCTTTTCATTCTACCTAAATGTGTTCTCCAAACTGGAGGCAGCTAGGTTGGGAAGTAGAGCCCTGGGTCTGGAGTTAAAATTTGGCCTCAGAAACTTCCTGTGTGGGCAAGTCATTTAAATCTGTTTACCTCAGTTTCCTCATCTGCAAAATGAGTTAGGGAAAGAAATCGAAAACCATTCCAGTATCTTTGCCAAGAAAATCCAAAAAGGGGTCATGAAGAGTGGGACTGAGCAAAAACAAAGTCACACAGCTTGTTAGGAGCAGAACAGAAACCTAGAGCAGTAGTGGCGGTGTTTTTCTCCACGCTGATTACTATTTCCACACCATTTCCCCCACTGAACAGAAAGAAGAGTGAATTCAGAAGAACTGGATTCTTCCCAACCCACAGCAGAACAATTCTGTTGCTACTCACAGCAAGGTAATGAACCAATACTCCTTTTTTTTTTTGGTTTTTGTTTTTCCTTTGGTGAGGCAATTGGGGTTGTGACTTGGCCAGGGTCACACAGCTAAATACTCTTCCTTTTGGAAACAACACTTTTCCATACTAACCTATTAATTGTCAATTGTGCATTTGCTGCTCTCAGCCTCCAACGAACTTGCAAATTCAAATACTACCAATGAAGCCCTACTAAGGGGCAAGCCCTTAAGAGATATCCTGAAGAATAAAGCCTTGCCGTATATTCAGGAAGCCCACAAGACCTGGAGAAAAGGGGTGGGTGCACAAGTGGGGAATTGTGTTTAGTATATATCATTAGCATTAGCAGATATTTCATAGAGCCATAGGATTTAGGGCTAGAAGGAACCTTACAAACCTTCTAGTCCAATTCCCTCATTTCACAGATGAAGAACTGAGATTCAGCAAGGTCAGCAATAATTCACATTCATGGTTTTTCGGAGGAGGGGAGGAAGAGGGTGGAAGCAGGTACACAGGTCCCTTTCGGTGGTTAACATTAAGGACATTGACAAGAGTTGCACAGGATAGGAAGGCATGAATGTATTGCTATCTTCGATGTTGGAAAGGACGTCCAAGTTGTTGAGATCACAAGAGCCAGTTAAGGCTTATTTACAAAGGGCTGTCTTCACAAGCCCATGTGGCAGGCTTTATTATTCACATTTTACAGACATGGGAATTGAGGCTGGAAAATAGTTGTCAGATTTTGAATCCAGATTTTCTGAGTAAGAGGCTTGTTCTCTGAATACTATACTTAAACTACTACTATACTATACTATTACACTTATCACTATATTACTGCCAACATGCGGTAGGTATTTAATAAGTGATTGCCTCTCATCTAAATACAAATCGCCCAACGTGAGGGTCAAAGAGATACTAAGTGCCAGTAGGCAATCAAACTCTGGGCCTTCTGCTAGCCTATCCTAGGATTTGCACACTGAAGCTAGGTTGTTAAAGAGATTTGGGTTCAGCCCTAAAGCGCAATTGCAGTCAATTTCCCAGGTGCAAGTGTTCCCTTGGAAAAAGTCCGCCAAGTCAGGCACTAGGCACCTAGCCGACTGACCCCCGAGCAGACGACGGCGGGCTCCAACAGAAAGCCTCTCGTAACCTGGGGAGGATGAGTTCTTCCTGCCCCTCCCCACCACGTGCCCTGCGGAGGGCAGACGCCTAGCGGAGGTTCCGGGAGAAACTAGTAAGCTTTTCCCGTGTCTCCAGAAGTTGCACAGACCTGGTCAGAAGCTGCCCGTTTTTCCTGGCGAGACCCCGGAGCCTCCTCAGTCTCTGCACCCCAGAGGGCTTTTAAACCCCGTCTGGCCATGGATAGCCTCGACTCGATGGGATTTTCAGGTCTCGGTGGGATCGGATCACACCTGCCCGTCACTGACAAGGGTCGACCACTATCTTCCCTTACCGAGATGAGGTGAGCTCTCTTCTAACTTACAGATGTCCGAATAGCCCAACTCTGCCCTGACCGAAATAGAGCCCTTGGTCAATTTATTCCTGGACTTGCCCCGAGCTCCAAGCAGGCTCTAAAGGATGCTCGCAGACCTTACGTACCCCTGGGCAACCAATGGGGCCGAAGTGTCCGCGGGATTGGTGGGCGGGGCTGGGCGATGGCCTCGGGCTTTCGCCACGTGCTTTTAATGCCACTGGTCTTCATTAGAGTTTCAGACCCTTCCGCCCAGAAAAGGAGACCCATGGCCTCCCTTCCACTCTCTGCACGGTAGGTTAAGTTCTGGAGCCCGAGAACTGGCTTACAGTGTAGGAGTCACTAGGGAGATTTTACCAAGGGAAGACTGGGGAAGTGGGCCATTGAGTTCCGGGGAGTGGGAGGCTGGAAACTGGCTGCGGAGGGATCGCGCTGACCGCTGGCTAGCGATTATAAACCATAACCGTTGGGGCTCGGGGGGAAGTCAGCCGTTGTTGCTCCAGTACTGCGTGAGTGTTTGGGGTCAGGTGGAGTCCAAGGTGGAAGGCGATTGAGGAGTGTTGTGGAGAGGGACCTCTGCTGGTGAGAATGGTTTGCTGCTTATGGTAATGCCCCAGTAACGGGGCTTCTTGGAGAGGGAAGTCGCGAGGGGGCTGGGTCGCCCCCACTGTTGTAACAGAGCCATTTGGGAAGGTATTGAGAAAGGGATGGACTCTGGAAAGCCTCGAGCCCTGAAGTCGAAGCAATTTAGGGGCAGACATTTCTTCGCAAACATGGGAAAGGAGGGCTGCTTAACTGAAACAGAGGGTTATTGTTTGTTGCTATTGATTTTTATAACCCCAGCAAAGTAGAGACTGGACATCTTTGCTTCCCCAAAGATCTTGACTTAGTTTTCACTGTCTGAATGCTGGTCTCCATGCACTCTCTCCAGGAGATGCAAAAGAAGGGTTTTTATTGGCGCAGCTGATGTCTTTTCAGCAGGGATTAGGAATGGTGATCTTTCCCCACCTGGCTAAACAGATAAGGTGTTTGTTATCCGCGTTCCAACCTATTCTCTTAACCCAGTCTTGCAAAGCCCTCCTTGATTTGAGTAAGTTACACTGTAAGTTTTTAAAATGCTCAGTTTGCACTAGGCCAAACAGTGACCTCTGTACCATGTTGTTTTCTAACGATTTGATGTGCTTTTGCCCAATGAAACGATTTAAGTGTAAAACCATTTTAAGACAACCCTGGATTGATGACACAGGAATGAACTTCGGAACTGGAAATTATGGTAACCAATATGTAAATCACTTTTTAAAGTTCATATGCTTTTTTTTTCCTTCCAGAATACACATGGACTTGAGGTAAATAGCCCAAGAAAAATCCCCCAGACTTTTATTACACAAAACATAATGTACTTTAGGTCAAAAAAGATAGCTGAAATACAAGCACTGAGATCTCCCTTTCTCTCTTCCTGTTTAATAAACTGACTTAATCCCCCCTCTCCCCAAATCACCTAGAAGCCAAATCTCAGGTTAAAATTAAGCTTTTGTATAGATTTAACATCTAGAGTAGTCATTTTTGGTAACATTGGCAGGGAAAACTCCAAAACACAGCTTTCCTTCAACTAGATATACTCCATGGAGGGATAGTTGGAAAAATGGAAAAGTATGTATTGATAATGAGATCTTGGTTTAAGAGAAATGTTAGTATGTTGAAATCAATGACAAGGGCAGAATTCTGTTTGAAAAACTAAAGAATTAAAATTTATCAGTTATAGTAAAGAATCATGTTGTAAATTTAGTTTGAAAAACGTTTTTCATTCTTAGGGTAAGTTTTCCAATGCACAGTTTCATGCTTGGGCACTAAGGAAAAATTTAGAGCACTTAAATCAACCTACCGTATTTTTTTGTTTAGAAATTTTAATTTTGGGGAAGCTTATTTTGACAAAATTTTTCAAATACAGAGATAAGTAGAGGTCAAGGAAAATCAAATTGAACTTAGAACATCTTGCACATTTCAGATTTACTGGATTTCAGAAAAAATGAGTGGACGTGCTCGAGCCAGAGCAAGAGGAAGGGCACGAGGTCAGGAGACATCGCAGCTTGTAGGACCCGTTGCAGTAAGTGTGTTCTTCAGTTATTTAGGGAAGACGCTAACCTCATTATTGAAGGTCAGGTTAATCAAATATTAATTGATGAATTAGTAGTCTGTTGAAAATGACTGAAAACTTTGCTATATAAGGGAGGCATATGCGGAAGATATAAAGGATTAAGGTGCTATATCTTACAGTAGTTATAGCTTATCCTATCCTATCTAATAGTTAGGACTGAAGGAGTGGAAACAGCCTTGGACTTGCAGCCAAAAGAGATCAGGTTTTGACAATGGCTTTGGAACAGTGGGCAAAGACCTTGACCTCTAGTTCCTCTGCAAAATAAAAAGAGCAATACCTGTAGTAGCTACCTCATGGGATGTATGTAGGATGAGGTGCAAATGAGAGTGTATGTAAATAAAGCCCTGAAAATACAAATGTCATCTATCCTTGAGGACCTTGTAATCTTCTAGACATTTTTTTCCCATCCCGTTGCCCCAAATTGATTTGTCATGAAATCCAAAAGCATTTTTAAAAGGCTTTTTATAACTTTGGACCAGTGTAATGACTTTTCTTTTGGGAGTCAGCCTTTTTAGTGGGAATAGGATATTTGCTTATTTGGAAGAAAAAAAGATAGCTTAATTTGAAAGACTTATTTAAAATAAATTACGGTACTTAACTGTACACTTCTGTCCCCTTACTTGAATGTGTAAGTTATGCTTTTAATTGCTCCCCTTCCCTTCAACGACAAAAAAACCTCACAGAGTCAGCAACCTGGATATTTGAAGCCGAGACCTCAGCAGCCAGCCTCTGAAGGTGACCTTGTTGGGCGTGGACGACAGAGAGGAGCACTAGGAGCAACGAAATCTCAAGGTGAAAGGAGCATAGAAGGGACAGTTAGTTTTCTTGTTACAGTTCTATGCTGGTAACAGTTATAAGTAGAAACTCTAGGTCACAAATCCCTGACCGTCACATCTGGAGCAGATTCTTTAAGTATATTTGGTTGATTTCAAAGCTCTTTGCTGTTATACACCGTCTGCCCTAGAAAGGTAGCTTAACTTTCCAGTAGTGAGAAGACAGCTATAAGCTAATTTTCCTATATCCAGATATGGATTATACTGTTATTCTATAAGCAATTATTAAGTACCAAGTACGTTCCAGACAATTGTGCTAAGGATATAAAGAAAAATGAAAGTCATATTCTATTGGAAGAAACAACATGTTTTTGTATAACTAAATCTATATGGTGGTTTTTAGAGAGGGCACTAAGCAGCTGGAGGGATTAGAATAGGCCTCTTGTAGAAGTAGCACGTGCACAGCGCATTAAAGAGAGTGAGGGATTCAGTGAAGTGGCGGGTGTGGAGAAAATGCATTCCAGGGATTGTAGAAAGTCTGTGCAATCATGGAGAAGGGAGATGGAATGTTGTACACCAGGTCAGTTTCTCTATACTGAGGGTTCATGAAGGGAAACTGTGTAATGAATTTGGAAGATAGGCTGGATCCAGATGGTGAAGGGCCTTAAATGCCAAAATAGGAATGGATGAATGTTACCTCTCCCTCCCCTCCCTCCCCTCCCCTCCCTTCCCCTCCCCTCCTCTGTGTGCTAAGGTGCTGGGATACAAAGAAAGGCAAAAGATAGTGCCTACTCACCAGGAGCTTACAGTCTAATAGGGGAGACCTGTGAACTACTAAGTACAAACAAGCTATAGAGAGGACATAGAAGGAAGGCACTAAAATTAAGGAGAATCAGGAAAAGCTTCCTAAAGAAGTTTGAATTTTCGCTAGGACTTAAAGGAAGCAAGGAGGTGGAGATGAGGAGGGAGAGTTCCAGGAATGAGGGACAACCAATGAAAATACCCAGAGTAGGAGCATCTAGTGTGAGGAACAGCCAGGAGATTAGTGTCACTGGATTGTAAAGTATGTGGAAGGGAGGAAGTATAAGGTGTTAAAAGGTGAGTGAAGGAGGGAGGCATGTTTTGAAAGTCTTTGATATCAAACAGGATTTATATTTGATTCTGGAGGTGATGGGAGCAGGAAGAGTGACATTCCATCTCTCTTTTCTCAGTCCTTTTGATCTTGTTTCTTCACCATTACACTAAAACTGTTCTTTCCAAGTTTACCAGTGACCTCAATTGCTAAATCTGATGGTCTTTTCCTATCATAACCATAACATCTTTGCAGATTCCTCTGGTACAGGGGTTCTTAATAAATTAGTTTTCATCATGAGCTTTTTTTCTTGATCATTCTGTCTTGTACTCACTGAGATTTGACACCCTCCTGGTAACATAGCTTTCTTTGGCCACCTTTTCTAGCACTGGCTGAACTTCCACAAACATCCCCCAGCTCACTGGGAGCTGGGACACTCCTTGTTCCTCACTGTCACTTACACACATTCTTTCTACACCATCACTCAATAATCTCCCTTGAGTTTCGTTCAATCCATATTAATCACCTAATGAAGACACTAATGAATATTGTCTACTGACCTCTAGAACACTGACTGCCCTTCCTTTCTCAGTGAGTTCAGTGCCTAGATCCCAGTCTGTTTCTCCTTTCCAACTCCTGCCCTCATACTAGGAGATTTCAACATATGTATTGATACACAATTAAACACCCCAGTGTGCTCATTTCCCATGACCTACTTCTCTACCCCACCTTAGAGGGGGAGCTCCCTCCCCACACACAGTTATACCTTTGAACTTGCCATCACTCAAAAAAGCACCAGACCTCTTTTTTATTGGCTTTCTACCCTCTCTCAGCCTATCAATACAAAACTCTTCTTCTTACACCATGAACCCCAATCCCTTGACCCCTCAGTTCTTTTCCCAGACTATCACTCCTGCACTGGTTACACTCTCCTCCCTTATCCTTTTTGACCCTGTGGTGAACCAGTTGAAGTCCACACCATCCTCTTATCTTGAATCCTTTAGCTCTTTTTTTGTATAGCTGGTCTTCCTTCAGCCTTGCCTACTCCTACACACATGCTACTGAACAAAGCTGCCTCAGTTTCCTCATTTGTAAAATGAACAGGAGAAGGAAATGGTAAACCATTCTAATACCTTTGCCAAGAAAAATCCAAATGGGGTCAGAAAGAGCTAGACACAACTGAAACAAATGAAGTTCAGTTTCCTGCAAGAATCAATCAATAAACATTTATCAACTGCCTACTATGTGCCAGGCACTGTTCTAAGTACTGGGGATACAACAAAAGGAAAAAGATAGTCCCTACCCTCAAGGAGCTCACAGTCTAATGCGGGAAACAACTAGCAAATAAATTTATACAAATAAGCTATATACAGGATAAATTGGAAATTATGAACAGAGGGAAGGCACTAGAATTAAGAAGAATTTAAGAGATTTTGAGTTCAGTCCCTTCACAGGTGAGTAAATAGGCCCACAAAAGGTCAGTGTGTGTGGTCTCATGGTGTGGGAATATTTATTTAATATTTAATATGGCAGGTTTTAGGCAGGATGGGTCAAGCTAATGGCCTGCTTCCCATCTGCCTTCAAACGATGCTTAGATCTTGAAAAATATTAACTCTAAATGCTCCTAAAAGGTCAAAAAGGACTACTGATGACTAAATCCAGTGACTGCTTTTTTCCCCCAGTTCTCCTCCCAGTTCAGTTTTGACACTACTGAGTAAATCCTTCCTAATATATTTCGATTCTTTCTTCTCTTCTGGTTTTCCCTCCTACTTTAAAATTTGTGCGTGTATATATATATATATATATATATTTTTTTTTTCATATCACTTACATTTACCAGTGTGTCCATCCTTCTCCCACAAAGCCATCCTTTAAGACAAATAATAATAAAAAGAAACAAGAATTCAGCAAAACTAACACACATCAAAAAAAAGTCAACTTTCTGCAATATTCCACACTTACTATTAATTGGGCCCCACCCGAGAAAAGAAAGAGAGTGAGTACTTTTTCTCATCTTTTCTTCGGGGCCAAGTTTGGATACAGCTTCACAGCATTAGTTTTGAGTTATTTTACTGCTGTTCTCTCCATTACATTGCTGTGGTAATTTATGTATTACTGATTTCCTGGTTCTGGCTACTTCACTTCATATAAATCTTCCCATGTTTCTCAGCAGGAGTATGCTGGACAATGTTTAACTGGCTCTCCAGGGGAAAAAAAAAAGTAGGCACTATGTATTTTAAAGTTGAATCTTCATAATTAACGTTTATCTTCATCACTTTCTTAAGCCTAGATAAGCAACAAAATGATAAATTAAGCCATAATTTGTAATATTTGTTTATGAGAAGTAAAATGTTCACAGTAAAAATTTAGTAATCGGCTCTCATGAGCCAGGATGAACTGGCTTGAGCTCACCATTGTTTCTCTTTATTCATCATCTTAAGTCATAATGCAGTCATATTTCATCACCTTCACATACCATAATATGTTTAGCCGTTATCAAGCTGATAGGCGACTATTTTGTTTCTACTTCTTTTTCACTATGGAAAGTGCTGCTATAAGTAGTTTGGTGTAAATGGGACCTTTCTTAGAGTATATGTCCAGCAGTGGAATTTCTGGGTCAGAGGGTACTGACCTTTTAGTCACTTCTTTGGAATAATAATAGCTCTGCCAACAGTGCTTTAATGTGCCCATCTTTCTACCACCCATTCAACTTTGGTTATTCTTCTCTTTTGTCACCTTTAATAATGTGCTATGTGTGAGGCAGAACCTAAGAGATATTTTGATTGGCGTTTCTCTTATCAGTGATTTGTAGCATTCTTTCATTTGGTGGTCAATAATTTGCAATTCTTTTGAGAACTGTTTGTTCAGATCCTCTGACCACTTATCTATTGGAGATGTTACTGGAGAATTGGAGAATATATGTTAGTTGCCAGTCAGTCACTAAATATGTATTAGGCAACTACTACATACCAAGAATCATACTAAGTATTGGGGATACAAAGAGAGTTTGTAAAAGGCAGTTTCTGCTTTCAAGGAGCTTACAAGTCTAATTAGAGGCAACGTGCAAATAACAATTCAAACAACTATAAACAGGATAAATTGGAAATAATCTCCACAGGAGACATTAGAACGAAAGGGTATTGGTAAAGGCTTCCTGTTAGGTAGGATTTTAGCTAGGACTTGAAGGAAGCCAGGAGGCAGAGATGAGAAGGGAGAGCATTTGAAGAATGGAGGACAACCAGTTAAAATGCCTAGATTAGGGAAATGGAGTAGGTTGTATAACGAACACGAAGAAAGTTAGTGTCACTGGCTTGCAGAGTATGCAGGGGGAGGAATGTAGTGTGGAAGACGTGAGAAGACTGGAAAGGTAGGGGATAGGGGAAAAATTATGAATAACTTTTAAGGCCAAAAAGAGGATTTCATATTCGATCATGGAGGCAATAGAGAGCCACTGAAGTTTGAGTAGAGGAATGACATGGTCAGATTTGCATATTATTAGGAAGATAGCTCTGACAGTTTGGTGGAAGATGGACTGGAGTGGAAAGAGACTTGTAGCAGGGAAGGCAACTTGTAAACTATTTGTAATGGTCCAGGTGTGAGATGATGAAGATCTGCACTAGCATGGTGACAGTATCAGAGGAGAGTAAGGGGCACATGCAAAAGATGCTACAAAGACAAAATTGCCAGGCCTTGCTAACAGATTGGACATAAGTGGGAAAGAGAGAGGTGGTAAGTCTGGGTGAGTGGGAGAATGGTAGTACTGTAAATACTGAAGTTAGGTAGAGGAGAAGGTTTGGGGGAAAAAGATAATTCAGTTTTGGACATGCTAAGTTTCAGATGTCTACAAGACATCTAGTTTGAGATATACAATAGGCAGTTGGAGCGCAGTTCTGAAAATCAGCACAGAAATTTGGGCTGGATAAGTAAATTTGATACTCATCAGCATA